GGATTTATCTTCAACCTGAGTGTATCAACCAGCAATTAAAATAATATTCAAAACCAAATAGAATATTACTATTACCCTTTATGTGTTCAGCAATAGGAACATTTTGGCAGATATTTTGTCAAATGCAGCAGAACCATGAGAATCTCGCTTGTGACTCCTCTTAGATGTACTTCACTGCCCCTCATTACCCTAGCTTTATTGTGGTATAATTCACAAATAAACTGTATATATTTAAGATGCAAAATGAGAAGATTTGACATACATATACATTGTGAAATCAGTACCACACTAAGTTAATTAACACATCATCACCTCACATAATTACCTGTTTCCTGTGTGTGCTGAGAACGCTCAAGGTACAGCTTTTTGGCAAATTTCAGGTACACAACACAGTATTATCAGCTCTACCCAGCAAGCTGTATGGCAGACCCCCAGGAGCAGTCATCATCCTATGACTGAAAGTCTGTCCCTGTGACCAATGCCTCCCCACTCCATCCCCCCCCAGCCCCTGGCAACCACCATTCTGTTTTCTGCTTCTGGGATTTTGACTTTTTAAATTTTTATGCATAAGGATGTTTATATAGTATTTGTTAGATGCAACCCCTTAGTCACCCCCTCCTCATTAGAGGTCTGGAGGTCTTTGTATTTTAGTCTGAGTCTGGTCACCCAGGAAATCTTGCTAGGTCTGAGTTCAAGGATTCTCCAGCTCTGCGTAGTCCCTTTCAAGTGACTCCATCTACCTTTCTTTCATTTCACCCTAGGACACCCCTCCTCTGATCACCCAGGAAGCAAATCTTGGTGGATGAGGACCAGTTGTACCCTGCCCTCCACCCCAGCCCAGAGGTGGGACTGGTCTTTTGTAAATGCTGTGAGGTCCTACCTTTGATCACCACTTCTTTGGTGATTTGTGTGTGTGCACATGTGTGTGTGTGTGTCTCAGGTTCCAAGTGACCACACAAATCCAAAATGACCTCAAGGCTGAACACAGCTCACTCACCGTCTTGTTGACTTCAGTTATGCGGTATAGCACAAACTGGTTGCCACTTTTGCTTCTACTGTTATATTCCTTCAGAGCTGAGTCCACAGCCTTAAATACATCTTCATCATTGCAGTCAATTGCTTGCCAGTTGTCCTCCTTGGTTAAACTTGGTAGCAGTCTAGAGAAAAGGAGAAGGATGGCAATGAACTTCATGATTTAACAGTCTCCCTCTGGTAGTTTCACCAACAATTGGGAGCTGCTTTGGATGCTGATGGTGACTCTCTTCAGCCTCTTGTTTCCTGTGTCTGTGCTTTCTCTTCCTAGCACCTCAGGGGCCTGCTTGGATCCCTGCTGCCACCCACAATTTGCCCTATTAGCAAAGGACAAACAGCTCTGCTAGGTTATCCAAACAGATCTCAGGCTGGTACATTACAACACTGGGGTCAGTGACAACAAATGCTTGTTTGCATTTGGGAATCACATGGGAGCACAGAGCAAATTTCCATGCAATTGCACAACTTTGATAGGAAATCAGAGCAGGAACTAATACAGGAGAAAACAACACCAACCTCATGTTATTCCCTTTTCCAAATGACTTTCCCAAAGCCATTTATGAAGGTCACTCTATGTGACAACAATGCCACCGTGCGCAGACACCTTTCAATAAAATGTCTTTGCATACCCAGGGAGCCACACACATAATGAGTACAGTAATTTCCTCCCTGGGACAGTGGAGCAGTCAAAAATAAAAAACAGGTATCCTGTCTGCCTCTGGCCAAGTCAGCCCTTCTCCACTCAATTGTATTAGTTGTAGAAAGGAAAATTCCCCAGAATAGGGGGGACAGAGGAGAAGCATAAGGAGAGATGGGATGAGTGAAGCCCACTCACCCTGTCCTTCTTTCTCATGTCTGGTTTGGTGGACTTCAGGGAGTCTTTCATTCACCAAGGCTAAGTAACCTTTCTGATGAAGTCAGACAATTCAGGGAGAGGAGTTCTGGGGCAAGCCCTTGGTAGATGTTTGCCCTCATTTCTTACCCTTCCCCCACCCCCCACAAAAGATGTTTGAAGGCTTTGTTGTTATTGTTAGGGTCTCTAGTTTTGTGTCCTGAGAGCCCTGAAAAGAGGGGTCAATGGGGCTGAATGATGGCCTTGTAGCCAAGTGGCAGATACATGAACTTGGCAGTGAGTCCCACCTTGATTGCAATGCAGCTCTGCTGCTTGATGGCTGTGTTATTCTGAGCACATCATGGTCATAGAGCCTTTCTGAGCCTCAGTTTCCTTATTTGGGAAACATGAAAAATTCTAATACCTTAACAAGGTTTGTTTGAGGAGTAAATGAGATACCATATGTGCAGGGCCTGGTAATTAGTTCTTAAAAATTATGTCTAATATTAGGGTGGGATGGTTCAAGATATCTGAGTTACTGAGGCAGATTCAGGTGTGTGGTGATGGCAGAAGGTAGATTTTAGTGTGTGTTTGGGGGAGGTGTGGGTTTAGAAAATAAAACTAAGGGTGAAGGAGACTTGGGTACGTTCTTAGTCCGGGAAGAAAGAGGAACTCACAAGGATGGAGAAACTGAGAGTGAGGGAGTGAGGAGATGACTGCTGTGCTCAGTCCCAGAGGGTCTGGGAAGGGGCACCAGGCTGGTCACTGTGGGTATTTCAAGTGGAGACTCAGAAACAAAGAATGGCAGGAATTCAGGCAGCAAAATAAACAGGACAGCACTTGAATTTGGAGGCTGACCTGGGTCTAATTCCAGTCCCACAATTTACTGACCATAACAGACATTAAACATTCATATACTTTTTAGTTATCATGTAGAAAAAATCTAGACAATGCAGCAATCAATGGTATCTTGTCTAATCCTCTAGCACAATGTAAGATACCTAGAGTAGGGATTGTTTCTTATCCCATTACTCACTTGCAGCAACGCTGTTTGCACATTGTAAATGCATTTAATTGAAACAAATTGACAACATTCAATCTTAGGTTTTCCAGGTAATATTTTTAGTAACTCAAGCAATATTTGTGAAAGTACTTTGTAAATTGAAGAGCACTAGTCACATGCTTCTGTGAGTTATTAAACTATGTACTCTTTGTGTGGTGGTTCTTCCTGGATTTCACCCATCTGTGCTTTCTACCCAAGCAGCCCACCCTGTGTTCACACCTGGTGAAGGAAGGTCGATTCTGCAGAGCCCACATTCAACTGCTGCCACCCAGGCTGTTTATGGCTGGCAGCTCTTCTGACTGGTGGTTGTAACTGCTCTGCTGGTTGGCGCTGGTGTCATATTGGTTATTCAGTTGTTTGGTATCATCATGTGGCTCCAGGAAATGAAGTCTAGGGAGGGAAGGGAAATGGGCTGCCACCATCATCGTGTTTTAGAGGGGGAAGATGAGGCCCGAGTAGATTTAATGACTTTCTTAGGACCTTAGAGTCCACTAATTGTCAGTGTGGGCTTAGTACCCAGCGGGGCCTTCTCCACAGTCACATTCTTTCCTGTTTGTTACACTACTGAATACACTGCCATGCTCTGCTTTCTTTCCAATTTTACTAAGAAATAATTGACATACATCACTGTATAAGTTTAAGGTGTGCAGCATGATGCCGTGATTTACCACAATGGGTTTAATTAACATTAATTGCCTCATATAGATACAATAAAAGGAAAAACTTCCTGTGATGAGAACTCTTAGGATTTACTCTCTTAACCTCTTGTGTGTATATTACAGAGCAGTGTTCACTATAGTCACCATGCTGTAAATTACATTCCTAGACCTCACTTGTCTTAAAACTGAAGTTTGTGTCTGTTGACCTCATTCCTCTATGTCCTGTTTCTGAGTCCTTTACTTGATTAGCCTTCTGCTCCTCTTCAGCTCCTCTGGAAGGAGCACATCAGTCATCTCCTCCTTCTCCCACTCCGCTTCTTCATCTTTGTGGGCCCCTCCTTCTTACCAGCCTGAAACATAGTTGTTTTGTTTTGTTTTTTGTACTTTCTTTCCCTTCCCCCATTAGAATCTACCTTCTGTAATCACCACACACCCTGAAACTGCTTCAGTAAGTCAGACAGAAGCAGGGGTGTCCAACCGCAGCCCATGGGCCATATGTGGCCCAGGATGGCTATGAATGCAGACCAACACAAAATTGTAAATTTCCTTAAAACATTATGAGATTTTTTTCCTTTAGTGTTTGTGTATTGAACATGTGGCCTAAGACAACTCTACTTTTTCTAGTGAGGCCCAGAGATGCCAAAAGTTCAGACACCCCTAATTTTAAAGTCTCATTAACTTATGTCTAAATGCTTGAGCCTGATTTGGGAAAAAGAGAAAAGAAAGAGAATTTAAGTGTGGAAAAAGAGTGTCCTGGGATCAAAAGTGAATAGAGAAAACTTTCTGAGACTAGAAAGCCCCTAGCCTGGGGAGGAGGTATGAGAAGAACAGAGTCTGGGGGCCTGGGAGCAGAGGACACCTCTGCCCTGCTTTTTGGAAATGTAGGCTGAAAGACAGCAAGATCTCGAGGAGCAAACAGTCACACGGTATCTCTTGGCAGCCATGTTCATCAGTAGTCTTACCAAGACTCCTATAACCCCAGTTTGATGCAGAGGCAGCAGATAAACTACACCCAAAGAGTGATGTGAACAGGGTAGGAAGCATCCCTCAGCAGGGGGACCTGATGGCCCAGCGATGAAGAATCAGATCTCTTTCTTGTGCCCACCACCCTGGACTAGGTGAGAGTCTCGAATGTGACATAACTTTGTGCGGGGAGCAGCATGGGGGAGGAACTTCAGAAGGTTAAGTTTTCTGTTAGCCCAGCAGGATGGCAACCTGAAGTAGAAATTAATGTGTTCTGAAAAGAAAGAGATATGTCTGGTACACCTAAATTTATGATCATGATTCATGTCTATAAAGTTCTTTGTACATTATAGCCTGAGCTTTGTTTGCTTTATAATTAAAATTAGAACTTATTTTTCCAAAACAAAATTTAGAAGACTAGAAATAAAAAAAAAGTAGGAGAGAATTTGGATCACTTTAATAAGAATAATCATTTATTTGACAATGTATAGTTTCTTGGTATGCCCAGCTACAGCATAAGTATTAATTAATAGAGGAATGATGCTAGCATTTCAGGAGTCCAGTCCAGGAAATAGAAAAGTCTGAGGATCAGAGATTTGTCTTGAGTATTGTAGTAGCCACTGAGAGAATTAACTTCTGATTTGTCACTCCAAGCTTTTCCTTCTCCTCTCCATTTGTCTTGCTCTTCTCACGCCATCACCTCCCCCACCCACATTTTGTTCTATCCTGAATATGAAAGGTAAAATAACTTCTAATTTTGCATTTATTACTGGTTATATTTTATTTATTGTTCTACTTCAGAACATTACTCATTTTTCCAGGAACTCAGCTTTTCTTTTGGTAATGTATATGCAAAAAACTTTGAGACTTGTGAAAACTCCCTCTTAAACATCCCTGGACATGATTCAGAGGCTGATTGAGGGAAGGGCTGAATTTTTGGCTTTAGAGGATGGTCGTGGTTGGGCAATGAGAAGATAGGAAAATTGGCTTCAGGGAGAGGAAGAACTTCACCATTATTTAATGGAGGGAGTCGGTTAACATATCCAATTCGTCTCCATTGGAAGGGATGGTGTCCTCTACCTGGACCTCTTTCTTCTGAATGCCTAGGCGGTGGGCCATGGTTCCTGTGATGGTGATCTTGGGGACCTTGGCTATGAGGTGGTGGGTCACAGGGTCCGTGGTCATAAAAGTCATGGCCATGGGGAGGGGGTCCATGGGGATGGTGCCCATGAGGACGATGTCCATGGGGACGGTGTCTGTGAGGATCATGTTCATGAGGACGGTGTCCATGAGGATGATGCCCATGAGGATGATGCCCATGAGGATGATGCCCATGAGGATGGTGCCCATGGGGATGGTGCTCACTGGAACTATGATTACGAGGGTGTATGTGGGTTCTATTGGTGCCAGAATGGAAGTGATGACATCTTAAAGGAGGAAATGGTGGAGGAGGTCCTGGTGGAAGTGGTGGTCTGTCTGAGTGATTTGTGTCTTCTAGAGGAGATGGGTGTCCAAGTTTATGTATCTTGTGGGGATGTCGGTAATCTCTGGACCCATTGTTCTTAAATGGATGCTTGCCAATGTGGAGGAAGGGAGGCCCCAGATGGGGCGGTACATCACTGATGTTTCTATGTTCCTGGAAAAGGACACAGAAAAGTGAATATCACCATATAAAGGAGAAATTAGAAGTTTAATTTGATTTAGGCCAATGACTACCACCATCTTGGATTCTACAAAGAAATTTTAAAAGTAAAAAAACAAAAAAGGGTTCTCAAATTTTTATCTAGCTGAAGTTGGCATTTCAAACACAAACAAAAACTGTCATCTACCACCATCATTTCATAGTAGGAATAATATTGATGACAACAGAAAAATAATCACAAAGTAAAGGTTGGTTCTTTAAATAAAATATGTTAAAACACCTGGCTGGCGTAGCTCAGTGGATTGAGCGTGGGCTGGGAACCAAAGTGTCCCAGGTTCGATTCCCAGCCAGGGTACATTCCTGGGTTGCAGGCCATAACCCCCAGCAACCGCACATTGATGTCCCTCCCTCTCTCTCTCTCTATCTCCCTCCCTTCCCTCTCTAAAAATAAATAAATAAAATCTTAAAAAAAAACACTTTAAAAAAATATAAAAATAAAAAAAAATATGTTAAAACACAAAAAAAACTTTTCTTATTATCTTTGTTTTTCTCACTTCAACATAAAGTGCCAAATTTATTTTATAGTAGGGTACTCATCTGTAGGCCAATATTTAGAAAACTAGTACCTTATAATTTAGTCTCTCAATGGAGTTCTGAGGTCCTATGGTATAAGCATTTCTTACCCCTAAAAGGATGAATACTTTGCCTTTTCACTCTCCTTAAGTTTTAACTTTTTAAAAAAAAATCTATGCAGCCATGTTCATGGTGACTAACCTGCTCTCCCCCGCCCTCCCCACCCCAGCTCTTAGGTTTGGCACATGAATGTTTGAATTATTTTCAGGTTTTTTTCTGATATAAAAAATACTATGAAGAATATTTGAGTGCAGAACAAAGGTTTCTACACACAGATATTCTCATAAAATATTGTTTTGCATCTTATTTTGTATATCTTTATAGATAAACTTGAAACTAATTCATTCCCATTAGCCTCTGTGCCTAATAATAAAACTAGGATTACTAAGTCTCAGTGCTGGAGTCCTAACTGCAAGGATCATTTTCAAATTTATTAAATGTTGATTAAATTAGTCATATTTTACTTTCATGCCAAACCTTACCCTTTCCAATTCTTGGAAAAAACTTCATACTTGTGTCATACCAGCAATTGCACTCCTTTCACCAGGGGCTGTTCTCTCTGTATTTCTCTTAAACCCTTCCCCCATCACATCTCATCTCTCTCATACACACCCTCACGCACCAACACACACACAGAAATAAGAACAAAATACACTGTGTGTGTGAAAATATCATTTAGTCTGGCACTGCTCAAGACAAAGTCTGCTTAGGCTACCTACCTTAAGTTTGAAGACTTCACAATTTATGACTACATCCTCTGGAGTTTCCATGTCAGAGGTTCCTACATTATAGGACAAATCTAATTTGCAGAACCCAAAAACCTACAAATAAGAGAGAAGCCTGTTAGTGTGTGTGTGTGTGTGTGTGTGTGTGTGCGCGCGCGTGCATGCATGTATGCAGGTGATGTGAAGGTGTGCTAGAGTTGTGAACTTCCAGACATTCTGGAAAGGAAGGAGAGCTCTAGAAAAATCAGGGTAATATTATCAAGTATCTCTACCAGTTATTTAACAATATTTCCTAGTCAACACTTTGGGGAAAGTACAGGTTCCAAAGCTCTTCATAACAAGTTGCTGTGGTTCTTTTTTAAAATATTTTTTTCTTTTATTGATTCTAGAGAGAGAGGAAGGGAGGGAGAAAGAGAGGAAGAGAAACATTGATGTGAGAGAGAAACATTGATCAGCTGTCTCCATCTGAGGACCAAACCCACAACCCAGTCATGTGCTGTGACCAGAAATCAAACCTGTGACCTTTCAGTTTGCAGGATCATGCCCAACCAACTGAGCCACACCAGCTAGGGCACAAGTTGTTGTGTTTCTCTTCTACGACTGGTCATTAGCATTGAGCTTCCCCATGGGTAGTAGTAGGGAATATTATGTCCTTAATGCCTTGACTTTAGGCCATCCCCCCTGCACTGAAGACCTGAATTGCTTATGCCTAGAGAAAATGAATAGTGTAAAGGAGAGACTTATACAACTTTAACCAGTTCCTCAGAGAAGAGTTGGAAAGGAGAAAGCCAATGTAAAAACAGTTTTACACAGACCTTGTCAAAGTGACTATTTGCTGCCCCTACCCTAAGTTCAGAGGTTACAACTGGCTGGCTCCCCTCTGATCCAGAGAATTGTAAGCCCAGCTGTCACAGTTACAAGAAGAAAAGTTTCTTTTAGAAGAGACTGTTAAGCATTGAGGTTACGAATACAGTTTTGGCATCAGACAGACCTACTTTAACCCTGGTTTCATCATTTACCAGTTGTGTGAGGCTTAGGTAAGTTGCATAAAATTTCTGAAACTCAGTCTTTGTTTGTAAATGGGTACAATACTATCTACTCACAGGTTGTGGGAGGGGTTAATTAAATAAGATAATGCTATAAAGCACTTAGTACTGAGCTCCTCTTCACCAGCCTCCACGTTTCTGCACTGAGTTTACATTATCCACACCAAGACAGTTAAGAGTGTGTTGGGATGGGAGTGCGGGAGGTAGTGTCGTTTCTGGTGGCCACTAAGCAGGATTCTAGAACTACTTCAGGTTGAAAAATTGAACAGCCAGAAAAAGAATTAATAAATATTTTCTCTCTTCTGGCCTTGGAAAACACATTGTTGTACTCCATAAAAATCCTGGACTTGAAATCAGAAGACCACCATTAAAATCCTATGTCCTAACACTTTCTAGCTAAGTGTCCATGGGTAAGTATTTAAGCTTCTAGGCCCTTCTGTCCCAGTGAAATGGAAGCAGACACTTGTTTTTCCTCAATGGGGTGGTCACAGGGCTCTAACAAGACAATAATATATGTGAAAGTGTTTTGTAAACTATAAATTGCTATATGAATGCTGTGTATCACTCATAACATCTTCCTGCAGGCACATGAGTATCAATTTATAAATTATAAAGGGAAAAATCACACTGGACTGAGCATAGAAATGGATTCTGATATCAGCTTGGTGGTGAACATTGGGTAAGACCCTTACTTTTCTGATCCTATTACCTCCCCATTTATCAAATGGGGTCACTGTGAGGAGTAAATGAGATAAAGTAAATGAAAGCACCCCTCCCTGAGTGTAGGTTTTTAATGCATTCCAGTTATTTGTTTTAGCTAAGTCTTTAATCCTAATGAACTAAAAAAAAAACCCTCAGTGTTTATTTTAGGTATATATCATGTATATTTAAAAAATTATATTCTCATGGTTCACTTAATTCTCCATGTTTCAGTTTCCCCATATGTAAATTGGGGATATAAATAATATCTGATTCATGGGGGTAATGGGTTAACATATGTGTAAAGCCCTTACAAGGGTATCTGGCACATAATTAACCTCTAAATATTACCTAGTATTTCACAGACATCTAATATACTCACATTATGGTGCCTGGGAAAATGGTGATAAGAGCAGTTCCTTACAGAGAAGTCCAGATAGTAATTGGTTCTTTCCCCTCCTCTCTAGAACAAATAGGATCAAAGGAGTTTCAGGAACATTAAAAAAAAAAAGGCAGTAGATACCTACTATTTAATATACTGTAAAGGCACTATGCAGATTCAAAATCACCAATATGTGCTATTTTTCTTATTGTCTCTTCCTTTTTAAAATGTATCACATAAGTGATAAGGTAAGTACTATTTCATTGAAAAGATTCAGATTATACAGACATAATCAAGCATAGTGTGAAAAGTCATTCTTCCTGCACTTCAGCCTGTTCTTCTCAGAGGTCCCATTATCATTCATTTGATGTGTTTTTCCTTCTAGCCTTTTCCTAAATATGTTGTGTATATACAAATATATCTAATTATTTAATGTAAAGGGTCTCATAGTCTGAGTATTGTTCTGTAACCTGCTTTCCCCCTTAGCAATGTATCTTGAAACTCTTTCCAGTGCATATAGGTCCAAAACATTCTTTTCAGTAATTACACTGTATTCATTCCACTGCTTGTATGCACCATAATCTATTTAACTTTATATTTTCAAAATACAAGACAACATCAACTAGCTTCTCTACAAGACCATTCTGTGTGGGAGTGTGGGAGGCACTTGTGTCCCCGGGCTGGGAGGAAGAACTGCCTAGCTCCAGCCATACCACTGAGCCTCTGTTTTCTATCATAATACAAGGAGGTTAGGACCAGGTGATTTTAATGATTCAAATAATCCTAATATGCTCTTCTGTCTTTTGCTCTTTTTTTTTGTTTGGGTTTTCCCCCTCACTGTTAGATATCACATTCCTCACAACTCCCAAAAATAAAAAATTGTAGGAGGGAAGTTCTGTGGTATCTGCTGCCTGTCTCTTGATACTGAAACAGGGGTTCTCAATTTTAAAAACAGCTGGTATTTGTCTTTCTTTTTCTGACTTCTTTAACTTAGCATTGTATCCTCTAGGTCCATCCATATTGTCAAAATGGTAAAAAAATCATTCTTTTTTATAACTGAGTAATATTTCATTATATATATAATCATGGATGGATATATATATATATATATATATATATATATATATCACATCTTTCTCTAATTGTCTATCAGTACACATTTAGGTTGCTTCCATATCTTGGCTATTGTAAAATAATGTTGCAATGAATATAAGGATGCATATATCTTTTTGAATTTATATATAGCTGAAAGTAATACAATATTGAATGTTAACTGTAACTGAAAAATTTTTTAAATTATAATAATACAATCAGCTGGCCGTGTGAGGTCACGGGAGAGGGTCAGTGCTACTGAATTTGTGCCTGCAATGTTGGAGCCTGGGCCCTCAGACTCTAACTGAACATTACTGCAGACTCACCACTCTTGCAACTTTCTCCACTTGGTCCACTCTGAAAGAGGCAAAGTCACTATTTTCCATTTTATACTTCTCAAAGGCTTTCTCTGCTACTTTTCTGTAGAGTTCAGTATCCTCAAAGAAGTCAAAGAGTACTGGGCTGTCTTTAGTGTTGGCCAGTACAGAGAAGACTGGAGAAAGAAGATGGCAGCTTTGTGGTTATTGGGTTGGAAACAGCAATGTCAATTCTGAGACTTAATGCATATAAACATGGTGGTGGCAAGAATGACAAAAGCTTCCATTTTACAGATAGGGAAATTGAGGCTTGGAGATGCTAAGAAACTTGTTCTAGCAAATCAGCCAATCATCAGCAGAGCTAAACTTAAACCCAGATCCTCCCGATGCTCAAGTTTCTGTCATGACCCTATTTGTGATGCCCCACTTCCATCATTCATAGAGTGTTGATGTTTTAATGAATGCTTCCTATCTCTGCCAAGGAGGGAGAGCATCATTAACATGAAGTTTTGCCCAGAGGGAGAAGATACAGCTCAATCTTCTTTAAGGCAACCTCCTGAAGGATTTGCTTGGTTGATGAATTTTTATATACTGAATCATGTTGAGATTTGCTATTTTTAAAAGAATTCTGTGCTAATTCTTTTTGGAAAAGTAAATAGTAAGAGCACAGAATTTGTATTCAACACTGGTGGGGTAGGGTTATATTCACCACATTTTTACTGTGTGCCTGAGGCCAAGTCTTTGAACCTCTTTGAACTTCAGTTATTTTAACTCTAAAATAGAAAGTATCATAATCTTCAGTCTTGTGAGATTAAATGAGATGACATGTGTATAACTGCTTTGTAAACTGTAGTATTAATATATAACTTAGATGCTGAGTGCTAAGTACTTTGGAAGTATACTACATAGAGCATCTGATTTAATTCTAACAAAAGTCCAAAAAGCTAAGGCTATTATTAGCTTTACTTTACCCATGAGGAATGCTTAACGAGGGTAATTACCTTACCCTCAAGACCCTGCAACTTGTAAATGAAGAGGCTGAGATTTAAATTCAAGCAAATCTGACCCTAGAGCCCACGTTCTCTACAGTGATGCTACACCGCCTTGTGTAGATTTCTTTTTACATATAGAATTTCTTTTTTAAAAAGTGCACCAATATAACACAGGAAACCCCTCTTGCTTTTCTTCTCAGAGAGTAATAATCAATTCCATGAGCATAGGCATCATTTTTAATATGTACCTCATAGTTTTATGTGTTAAATACCACTGTCTGATTGAATTCTATATTAATCTAGAATTAAGTAGCATTTTAATAGATTGCCATACCAGAGCTTGTGGTACAGTTGAAGTCATTCACTCTAAGATCCTGAAATTCATTCAAACATGTTGTAACTATTACTTTACATTGTCCAATCACCTGTAAGAAAGAGGAGTTTGTCATTGCTTACTGCTTTCTTCAGGTTGGATATGAAGAAACAAAGAAGTGATACAACATACCCTATTATCTTCTTAAAATTTATTTGCAGTTTCTCTCAACAAATCCTCTTTCAAAAACCCATATTTTCTTAATCTGTTCCTGTGAGTTAGATGCTATAGGAACCCAAAACCCTTAAGAGGACCAGGGAGAAACACTTTAAGCAGGTCATGGCTATATCTTAAGCATTTTCAAGATGAAGCAATGCTAAAATTTCTAGGTACGTAAATGTCTTATTTTCTGGAACTGAAATCTTAGATCTGTGCTTTTTCATCTTTGTGTTCTCCTCTTGTGGCAGAGATCCTGGGGCCTGAGTACCCACATTCAGTGTGCAGAACAAGACCCCATTCCTCAAGGCAATTGCAACTAATCCCTTTGGCCATTCCTGCTAATGGGTCCAGCCTTCATCAGATACAGTTACAAGTTCATAGGTTCCTAGACCCATAGACTGTCAGGGCCATAAAGGATCTTAGAGTTTATCTGTTCTAAACTCTTTCTCTTATTTTACAGCTAAGAAGATGGAAGTCTAGCAACATTAGGTGATTTGCACAAGGTCTCACAGCTGGTCATGCTATACCAAGGGACCACAAGCCCCAATGACTTACTTTGAACTGGGTTTGTAGGTATGGCTCTCAAGAGAATATTAATTAAGGCTGACATAATCTTCATGAGTCAAAAGACAGAAACTGGTCTTACTCTTTTGCTGTGTTAGCCTAGGCACATAACTACCCTGAATAGATAGAAGTCAAGAAAGATAAGAAGAGATGGTGCCATGGTTACTTACTATATCAGATGGACGTCTAGAAATAGCTGGCTCACAGTCATCCCAGTGTTTCCTGGATTGGACTGGGCAGTCAACTTCTTTCACATCTAAGACTAAGTAATAGACAGCTATGGATTCCTAAGAAATTCCAAGAGAGCAACAGGTGAGTAGCATGTGGGTGCCTCATATGTTTTCAGTAGAAGCAATCTCTTGATTTATTTCTTTTTTAAATCATCACCAGAGGATATGCTTTTTATTGATTTGAAAGAGAGAGACACATTGAAATGAGAAACACTGATCCTCCCACCCCTCCCTGTGGAATATCTTTTTTTGGAATGTTTCATGTCTTTTCTTCATTTTCATTTATCTAAATTTCACTGCTTGGATCTGGTCTTCATTTCCTCATCCCTGAACATGTAAAATAGCTTTATAGTTCATGTCCATGTCACCTGCATCCATCTCCCCAGGCACATTCTGCTCCTCCCCACTTATATTACATTTAGAGATAGCACTGGGCCAATTCATCCTGTGTCCTACAATGTGGCAGAGAGCCTGGAATGGAACTAGTAGCCATTGAATTGCTGGCTGAGTCCTAAATCCCTGTACTCTGTACAGGTTACTCATTCTCAGTAACCTGTAGTGCCTCCACATCTAATACTTTCATGAATAAAGTTATCTGCTTGTCCTCTGTGGTGTTCTATTGTCTGACCTCCTTGATTTTAGTGGTTCTCCAAAAGGGTAGTTTATTTTAGGGGGTTATCAAGGGAGGCCACCCTCCATAATCTCTATCAAGCCCTAAAATCTACTCCAAATAAGCATATGATCTAAGTCAGTGATTTTATTTCTTGTTTTTAATCATTTTTATTGTTGTTTCAATATAGTTGCCTCCATTTTCCCACCACCACTTTCCCCTGCCCCACCCACCCCTACCTCCCACCCTCAATCCTACCCACCTTTGGCTTTGTCCATGGGTCCATTACACATGTTCTTGATGACCCTTTCCCTTCTTTCCCCCATTATCTCCCTCCCCTCTCCCCTCTGGTTACTGTCAGTTTGTTCTTTATTTCAGTGTCTCTGGTTATATTTTGCTTGTTTGTTTTGTTGATTAGGTTCCACTTACAGGTGAGGTCATATGGTATTTGTCCTTCACTGCCGGGCTTACTTCACTTAGCATAATGCTTTCCATTTCCATCTATGCTGTTGCAAAGGGTAGGAGCCCCTTCTTTCTTTCTGCTGCGTAGTATTCCATTGTGTATATGTACCATAGTTTTTTGATCCACTCATTTACTGATGGGCACCTACGTTGCTTCCAGCACTTGGCTATTGTAAATTGTGCTGCTATGAACATTGGGTTCATAGATTCTTTTGAATTGATTTTCGGGATTCTTAGGGTATAATTCCAGCAATGGAATGCTGGGTCAAAAGGCAGTTCCATTTTTAGTTGTTTTGAGGAAATTCCATACTATTTTCCTCAGTAGCTATACCAGTCTGCATTCTCATCAACAATGTACTAGGGTTCCCTTTTCTCCACAACTTTGCCTGCGCTAACAAGTTGTTGATTTGTTTATGATGGTCATTCTGACCGGTGTGAAGTGATATCTAATTATGATTTTAATTTGCATCTTTCTGATGGCTAGTGATGCTGAACTTTCTTTCATATGTCTCTGGCCCTCTGTATGTCCTCCTTGGAGTAGTGTCTGTTCAGGTATTTTGTTAAGTCAGTGATTTTCAGCCTTTTGCATCTCATGGTACACATAAACTAATTACTAAAATTCTGCAGCACACCAAAAAATTTTTTTCTTGCTGATCCAACAAAAAATGGTATAATTTTGATTCATTCATACCAGGTGAATGAATCATACCAGGTGAATATTGTTATGTTGGCTGTTGTCATTTTTTTAAATTCGATAATCTAAGAAAAAAGAGGTCAGTGCCCCTGACTAAATAGTCAGGTATTGCATGTTTTAAAAATTCTTGTGACACACCAGTGTGCATCTTGCAGCACACTGGTTGAAAACTGCTGACCTAAGTGAAGACAGCAAGCTTGCTTTGCATCAAGATAAGACTACATTCTTTTTTTCTCCCTGCTACCGGTGCCAAATCTCACATAGAGCTTCTAGAATACCCTGCTTATATTTAACTACTCCCTAATACTCTCCTTCCTGATTTCTTACCCACAGAGAGGTAGATCCTGTAATTCCCCAGGCCATCTTCCTATTCAAATCCTGCTTATTTGACGGGACCCAAATAAACCTTTCTCTCATTCAATTATAATAGATCACATTTCATTAAATTGTCCAGCATCTATACCACTCACCTGGTCACTTAAATATATCCTACCCTACACAGTTTGTCTATATGTGTGTGTGAGCTGATGATTATTCCCATAAGGACAAGCACCACAGTTCATTCTAATTTTTCTCTTACAGTACTTAGCATTTGATTGGACTCATCATAAGTATTCATAGACTGATTCACAGTTAAGGACATACTAATAACAAATGTTAATTAAAAAAAAATAAAACAGTTTAGAGCCAGCAGCAGAAACTAAATAGAAAACCCTAACCAAAGCCATTCCATTGTGCAAAGCAATAGGCTTACAGACTAGAGACACATTTGCCCCTGGTGCATAGTTTTCTAACTAAGCTCTTTCATCAGCAATTTCTTACCATTTTGTCCAAGTGGGCATCAGTGACCCTCAGCAACTGGAAAAGGTAGCCATTCCGACGTTCTTTATTGATCAGGTCTAGAGCTTTCTCAGCCAGGGACTCAGTAGCATTGCAGTCTATGGGACTCACAGCACAGGAATACTGCAGGGTGATCAAAAGGATGGAAAGCAGAGCTACTGTGAATGCCTTCATTGTGTTAAAATCTGAAAACCATTCCTTGTTATGGTATACCACAGCAGAGAATTTCGTTCAAACTTTTAAACACACATACACACACTATTAATTAACTAAATGGTTTTTGTCCATTTTTATTGTGTAACCAGGGAGATTCACCTTGACCCCTGGTTAAAATGTCTGTCAGCATGCTGTAAATGATTAATGGGTCCTGGGGGCAGAATGTTGAAATGTTCTGGTGAGTGGGTGAAACTGCAATCTGCACAAATCTGGATATTTCTAGTCGATACCAGATCCACAGTGTGTTTTTTACCATAAGCACTGCCTCATTAGTGTGGGCAGTAGGGTTAGAAGTAAAGTAATTTTCCTACGTCTGCCTGTCTATCTCAGCCAGAAATTACCACCATGAGTCCCCTCTTTGGATTATAGCACTAGAAGTCTTTAGTAGAAAGCAGCTGTATTATTTAAGGGAGAGGTCTCAGGGGTTTCCAACCTTTTGACATCTCTAGGCCACACTGGAAGAAGAAGGATTGTCTTGGGCCACACATTAAATACATAAACACTAACAAAAACAAAAGAATCTCATAATATTTTAAGTAAATTTACAATTTTGTATTGGGCCATATTCATAGCCACCCTGGGCTCCATGCAGCCCATGGGCTGCAGGTTGGACACCCCTGTTCAGACAGTTAACACCAAAAAGGAACGGAGTTCAGGTAGAACAGAATGATTAAGAGGCTGTTTCTTTGAAGTCAGATCTCAGTTTCAACTCTGCATTGTTATTCTTCTACTGTGTAATGCTGGGTAAGCTATGAAACTTCTCTGAGTCTTAGTTTCCTCATATATAAAATGGGGGTTAATACTGCTTAGCAAGATGGTATGATAATTAAATGAGAAAACATAATGTAACCAATACAATTCTTGGCATGGATGCAAGTGCTGAATAAATTATGCTATTTATTATTATTATTGTTTTTGTTATTATTATTATGCTTGAGAAGAAGTTGGGGACACCCCATATATTTCCAGTTTTCCATGCCCTTAAAGTGTAGCCAAAAAAAAATTGGTTCATGTGTAAGAGAACCATAGTGAAGGTAGAAGTCAAGCCAGTTGATGCCCACCCATCCCAGAAAAGTAGTTAGAGAGACTATACCATTGGGGCAGGGACTCAGAATTGGGGGATGGAGCTGGGATTAAGCTGATTCCTCAGCCCTCAGCCCTCAGCCCAGAAAACTCAAATAGTTTTTTGATCCACTCATTTACTGATGGGCACCTATGTTGCTTCCAGCACTTGGCTGTTGTAAATTGTGCTGCTATGAACATTGGGGTGCATAGGTTCTTTTGGATTGGTGTTTCAGGGCTCTTAAGCACACATGTATCTTTTGAAGTGTGAGAGGTGTTATGTGCTGAACTGTGACCCCCAAAATTCATATAATGAAGTCCTAATCCCCAGTACCTCAGAATGTGACTATATTTGGATATGAAGTCTTTGAAAAGGTAATTAAGTAAAATGAAGTTATTAGAAAGGGACCTAATCCAATATGACTGGTGTCCTTATAAGAAGAGGTGATTAGGATACAGATGAGCACAGAGGGAAGACCATGTGGGAACACAGAGAGAAAGTGGTCACCTACAAGCTGAAGAGAGAAGCCTCAGAAGAAACCAACCCTGTGACACCTTGATTTCCAACTTGTAGCCTACAGCACTGTGAAAATATTAATTTTTGTTGTTTGAGCCACCCAGTTTGTGGTGCTTTGTTATGGCAGCCCCAGCAAACTAATACAGCAGGAAATTTGTCAATATAACTATTGTCCTCTGTCCTGGCAGCTGCTTCTTAGAAGAGGCACATAGGCTTTGGCATAATTTGCTCAAGAGGAGTAGGCAATATACACACAATTACTCTTCTCTACTTCCTATACGAAGGAAAAATAAGTAGGGTGTCATGTGGAGTTTTAAACCTTGTTTCAGTCAAGGTCTAGCAAGAAACACAATTTTACTCAGATAGTTTAACTGAAGAGACTTTAACAAAGGGAATGAAACCTTATGGGCCAAGTTAAGGGAAGAAAAAGGGGTGCTGAGACACCTGCAAAAGAGCAACAGTGGGAGGCCTTGACCACTCCGGGCCTGAGAAAGCTGTAGGCAGAATGGCCCTACCCAAGCCCAGGGGGAGATGGAGCTGTTGGAAGAGGGGCCCCTTGGCAGCAACAGCCTTGGAGAGGGGTGGAGCCACTGCCAAAACCTAGTGCTGAAGTGGGCAAGAACAGGGAACAAGCACCCGGACCTCTCCTTCCCTCTGATAGCCTCCTCCCAATTGGCTTTTTGACCCCAGTAGTCAACTAGCCTGCAGGGGAGCCTGGGCACTCAATCCACAGGAGTTGGCCTGAAAAGACAGAGAATGGACCTGGGGACAAACAGAGGAAAACCATTGCCAGCCCTACACGGAATTTCCCAAAGGTGTTCTATAACACCTTCCTATAGTTGTTGTTGTTGTTGTTGTTGTTGTTGTTGTTGTTGTTGTTGTTGTTGTTGTTGTTTTTCAGTAAAAATGGGTGTGGAAGGACCCTGGAATTTGTGTCCCTTTCTTTGTGTCCCTTGCTGAATGGACAAGAGCACCATCAACAGAGAGGATACAGGAGGAAAAGTAGGTTTGACCGAGGAGTTACTGAGTTGACTTTCTTAAATTCAAAGGAAGCATTATTGTCAACACTTACTTACCCTCTTTCAATCATCTGATAATGCTGACTCTTGCTCTTTCTTTAAATTTTCTCAGGTAGACTTTGTCCTACATCCAGGTCCTTCTCCTACCCTTCTGACAACTTCTCCTAAGGCATTTAGGTTCCTCTTTGGCTCATATCTTAGATGCTATTTCTCTAGGTTTTGATTCTTGATTTTTTTTCTTACTCTGAAAACTTCATGCAGGCAAGCTAATCTAATAGTCTTGTCAATAGTCTCAAAATGCTGCAATCATTAATCATTTGAGGCCCTTGTATTCAAATAATTGGTGTTTGCAAATTACTGATGTTAATCTTCTATGCTAGAACTTCAAGATATGGACATTTCTAGTTATGTGGTATTAAAAGTTCTTTCTGAGGAATCTTTAAAAGTAACTTCTTTAAACAATAAGAAAATGAGTGACCCCTCCTCCCCTCTGACTATTGGGGAAGGGTTTACAGGAACTACTATAAAGGACACATGGACAAAACCAAGGGGGAGGGTAGAAGCAAGGGAGGGAGGTGGGTTTGGCTGGGGTGGGAGGAGTGTGGTGGGGAAATGCAGACAACTGTGACTGAACAACAGTAAAATAATTTTAAATAAAATAAAATATCCAGGGAATGAAATATTGGGGAGCTATGACATGTTAGAAATAAATTTTCTAAAATTAAAAAGATACACATGTATATAACTGTATGTATTACATATATTAGTGTGTATATATGCATATAAATATAATATACATATGTGTGTATGTAATATTACATGTTAAATACACATATATTTATTTTCTTTAAGTGAAAAAATTGGGAATGAATGTTATCTGGACTGTTAATTTCTTCTCAAAGCAAAACTGTTAAGTAAGCCAGACAGCTTCCAAACTTGGAATAATATCTGATTCTCCTCAGGCTGAACCACAGGCCACAGGCAACAGTCTCTTCCATTTACCCAATTGCTAAGTTACTTTATCGAGTTCTGGGCTTGGAGGCTATTTGGACAGGTAAAAAAAAAAAATCCACCTTCCTGCTGAAGGCTGTGAAGACAATATCTGACCAATACTTGGTATTAAAATAATTATGAAATAAAGGGACTGTGAAGCTGTGATGAATCTCAGTCTCTTGGTACCCCTCAATTTTCATCTCATTTTGATCAAAAGAATCTCAGTATGCTCTTTCCCAGAAACAGGAAGGAATTCCTAAGTATGGCAGGTCCTACATCAGAGACACTTAGCTAAAAGTCAATAATCATTACAAAGGGAAAGGTGGAATACGTAAGTGGCATCTACCCACAGAAGGATATCTTGGATGGTTTAGGAGGTATGCAGCTCAGTGTACAAGTGGAGGATTTCATCTCATTTCCACTTCCAGCCAAAATGATGAGACCAAAAAGAGTCAAAACCACACACTTTATTAGCCACTATCTACATTCAAACTCTTTGTCTTTCCGTCTCCCTTCCCCATGACCTCTCATCTCCCGCCGGGTGCCGCATCCACGTGGAATTCTCCATGTGGTTCTCATGGTGGGAGAACAAGCGGGTTGGCCTGTCCGGCTGGTCCTGGGCACTGAGCAGAGTGTTGCTCTTTGGGCGGGAAAGGCAGGACAACCAGCTTCTTACTCATAGGCTCCAGGAATAGGAAGGAAACATCGAGGGTTTCTCCCTGGGGATTTGTGGTTAGATCCAGCTGCACAGGGAAGGCCTCAACAGGACCCTTTTCCTGGGACTCTTCAGGCTCCTTATCATCCAGTTCAGGAAGGTACTGGACAGACCCTCTTGGCACAGCTCTGGAGGGTGAGTAAGTGGGTTCTGCATTTTTCTCCTGGGGCTTTTCCACCTTAAGGAGGTTCACAGGTCCCTGGTTAGCAGTAGAAGTTTCACCCCCAGGGGTTGGAGCCTGAAATAAGAACCTTTAAATAAGGGGACTGTCCACTAAAGAAATCTCTGCTGTGCCTTGTACCAGGCTAAGGTGTTCCGTGCCTTTCTGACAGAGTGTTTCAAAGGGAGACCAGCTAGAGGGATGGGCCTCTGGCTAAAGGGTTATGAAGCAAAACAGATAAGGGCCAAGGGGAACTAAGACTGGTAAAAGCTTGATTGCAAGTCTCACAAATCTAGAATGGAACAATGATCCAGAGAAGTTAAATGGCTTATTCAAAGTCCCCAATGAGCCATCTCCCTGCTCCTAGCAGTGGCAGCAACAACCACTTTTAATAATTGTTTATTCTGTGCCAGGTCCAATACCAGGTCCAAGACCAGGTCCTTATCCAGGTCTTCTCACTTGCTTCTCACAGGGAACTAAATGAGGTAGGCACTGCAATCCCATTCATATATGAGGCAACCATCACTCAGAGAGGTAAGAATTTGCCCAGGTCACACAGCTCACAGGTAGCAGAGCA